ATGATAAGGAAGATGTCGGACTGCTAACTCTCTGGGGCAAGGACTGAGACTTTTATCTCAGAGAGGAGCTCCTGCATCTCAGGCACTGCCTGAAACAAAACACCCGTAGCTGCTGCAGGAAGTCACAGCGTGTGGTGTGGTTACGTTCCGCTGTTGAGCTGCTCTCGGGACAGCCCCGAGCCCTTCAGCTAGAGTGGGTCACAAAAGGCAGCGAGCAGGGTCCACGTGCAGGAGAGGCACTGGCCCTGTGCCTCCCTGGAGAGGAGGAGAAGCCCTTTGCACAGGCCACAGCGCCACATTATAAGCTGAAGAATTGATTGATGTTTCGGGGTACGTTTTGATAAACAACCTCCTTCTGGCCATTTCTTATCTAAGAGCCAACATTTTACCTTTCTCCGCTATCTGGTCTGAATGCACCTCATCACCAAAACCAAAGCAATAAGGCAGCCACTGAGAGTTGTGCTACTCGTGATGTTTTTGAACTGTGACACGGCCCCATTCCACTCCCCCGGGGCGGCGAGGGCACAGCTGACGCACAGGAAAAGCCACCGGGACAGAGCTGGGGCAGCATAAAGCGTGGGGCAGACGGCAGCCACGCCTGGGGACACCGCTAACAGCTCAGGGGCCATTTGCACAGGCAAGTTGGGGGGCTCTTTCTGTCTGTCCGTCTGCCTGTCCATCTGTCCATCCATCTGGAGCCTTCAGGGTGCCCTGAGAGTGGGGGGAGGGGAGGGGGGAGGAGAGTGTCTTACCTAGACTTGGGGGCCTCATGGTCCTGGAGCTCCCCACTGCTCCTGCACCACTGGGCCGCTCTGTCGGGGGAGGTTTCTCTGCCAGAGGGGACTGTAGGGAATGTTGTAGGAGTAGCACAGGTCATAACTGTAGACAAAACCAAAAGCATCTGAATGAGCACCTCACAACGTGAAAAGTGAGACACTTGCACTGTCAGTATTTCATTTGCTCTAGCTTGATGCTAATTTTTAAACGCGGTACATTTCTGCAAGAAGCTTTCAGGGGAGATCCAATATAAATTACAGGAGTCCTGAGCTTTTAAACTTTTAGCACAACTCCCAGGAAAAGGAAAACCTGCAGCAGGATGCACTGCATTGAACGTGTTTCCAGAACCCTGGGTACAGACTAGACCTGCCCTTTGCAAGCTCTGGGGCAATGCCAGCAGCCCTGCACATTGCTTAGAAGTCCAAAGAGGTTGCAGCATCTTTATTTTTTTTTTAATTTGTATAAAAGTGCAAAGTTTTTAAGACTTGATGGGTATCACAACCACCACAGTTTGCCAGAAGCTGCAATAAAATTTCTCTCTGAAAGCAAGCAGGCTTACAAATCTTATTTTCTCAACATGAGGTATTGTTACATTATGATTTGGTTTTTGTAGGTATCTCAAGAAATAAGGCCTGTGATTTCTTTGTAATTACCAGCATAGCAATAGAGATAGGAAAATGTTCCTATATATTGCTCCAAAAACATATATTCCGTCCTTTGAAATGTTGACATTATGGAACTATGATTCAGAGTTGGAAATGGAAAAGCTTTTTATAAAAAGGTCAGCTTTTTATAAAAACGCCAATTTTACAAAAACACCAAGATGAAACCTCATCTTTTTAATTTTCAAGGAAAAATGTCCCTCCTGCAGTGCAATCTTTAATCCACGGCACTGTATTGTACATAGTTTGTTAGTGTGAGCAAAGGCGATGAGGAGCAGACAACCCCTGGTAAAGGACAAGGCCGTGGGCAGAGCTCACAGGAGGACCAAGGTGGAAGGCCCCAGGGTGCCCCTTGTCTACTTATCCATAACGGCCTGTTCCCAAACTACTGCTGACTTCTTCTGCAGATGACACAGCTAGAACCACAACCCAGCAAAGTCTGCATTGAGGCAATGTTTATCTCTCAGTGCAATACAGAAGTATGTCAGTTGTTCTCAGTGTATCCTTCAGTGCAACACGGGAGATGTGATAATGCTGGAAAGACGTGGAAGTGTAGGTAGGAGCAGTGACATAATCCAATGGGACCCTTCAGAGCAACCTTCAGGCTTCTTTAGTATAGCGTGGGGCTAAAGCAGAAAATCAATTTCTGCTTTTTTTTTAATATGAGCTTATTCTACTTCAGCTTTTGAATATGCTTTTCTGTACCAAAAAAAAAAAAAAAATCACAATGGAAATGTTTTCATGAGTGGGATTAATGATGATGTGATGCAACCTTAGAGAACAGATGTCAGAAAGATCATCTTTGCTCAAGTACGAAAGGAGTCACTGAGGTACCTGCTTTGAGAGTCCACTCACCCAAAGCAATCTCTTCAGTCCACGAAAGCAGTGGCTATTTAAACACAACTCAACCCACCTAAAATCTGTAACTCTCAGTAGAGAGTCCAAAGTTAAATCCACTGGGGTGGATAGCCAAGCCAAGAATTTCAGAGCCTGTGACTGGGTGACCCCATTGTTGCTTGTCTTTTGGTTTTCGTATGGCTATACCCTTCCCAAGTTCTTTTTTCTTTTTCTTTTTTCAACACCAAATCTCAGAATTCTATGCCAAGTAAAAATGGAAAAGATATACTGGATTAATAATTAACATTCTGAAGTAAGCAGTCCTCTCCAAACAGAAGACATGGGGCTCTAGCAACAGCACAACAACATAAAATGGCATGAATTCATTGTTACAAGCAAATTCTTTGCTTTTACTACTTTTTCATAAGAACAGCTGGATTTGAAGTATACAACCCTGAACTATTTCTCCAGGAAGAGATGCTGCACAAATTTCCCCACTTCATAATCATCTGAACATATGCATTAAGGAAGAAAGCTGGCAGAGGTGCAAGAGCTAAAACATCTAGTTGTCTTACTTGCTTTTCTCCCTCTTCCTTATAACTGACCAACTTCAGTCGAGAAACATTCATTTTCAAAGACAGAGACTAGCCAGGAATATTAAAATACATAATTAAAAAAAAACTATGATGAAAATAAATGTTTTGTTCACTTTGTATTACTGATACATTGCTATTTTCAATGCAAATAAGTTTAATTATTTCTTTTGCAGCATGTCCCAATGGAGTCAAGTTCAACAACTGGAAATAAAGTTTTTAGAACAAGTTGACCAGTTCTACGATGATAACTTTCCCATGGAAATCCGGCATCTGCTGGCACAATGGATAGAAAGCCAAGATTGGTAAGGAATACATTTGCTCCCTCTCTTAATATTTCCCATCATGAGCAGATTTTATCTTATCTGTCAGATTTTAGGGTACTCATTTGTGAACCGTGCAGGCATCTACATTCCAAGTATTCTGCTGTTCATGGATTTATCTTGTTGAGTTAGCATTACACTTCATCTATTTAAGAGATTCAGTATCAGTAAATTCCTGTTAAAACTGCAACGTTATTTTCAACTTCTTAAATAAAAATTTCCTTTGAACCTATGTTATATACAATGGTCACACTTACACCAACAGAATCAATAAATTACTGTGCTTTTTTCCTAAGAAACTACCACACATTACATGAAACACAAAGGAGTATTGTTGAAAATTGCAGTTGCATGTTTTGAAATAATGATTTTAATGAAAAGCAACAAATATAAAGTTAAATATAAATATAATATTCAATTATAACATTTCTAGATTGGATACTTTTTCTTAGAGCACAGATTTCTATTCCTTATAACTTCGAATTTAAGGAACATCTGAAGGGGAGTTCTTATTTGAACTTAATCCTAAGCAAAATCAGATTAAAATGATCTAAGAACAAAAAGATGTTGTACTGCAGGACATGGTTTAGTAGGAAATACTGGTGATAGGTGGATGGTTGGACTGGATGATCTCAGAGACCTTTTCCAACCTTGGTAGTTCTATGATTCTGTGAAAATAATGGCACTAGATTTTTCACAGAAAAACATAATGCAAGTCAGTTTTCAATGGAAATGTTACCCCTTTACCTCCTGTAGCACAGAATTATCCCTTTTATCCAAATCACATTTAAAGCTGGACATAGAGTTCTATGGAACAAGCCAGCAATTTGCGGGAATTGGTATCTAGAAGGTAAATTTATACAGAAATTTAGATCAAATTCGATCAATAGTTATCTCAAGAAAATTCAGAACTAAGTACCAAAAAATGTTTATACTAATAGCAGCAGGAAGAGATGTCTCAATTTGGGAAGCTAAATCCACAAGTCTAGGAGAACTATTGAAAAAAAATCAACTAATTAATAAGACAATTTTCCTTGAAGGTTATAGCATGCAGTGGGGCTGTGGAAACATGGGAATCATTAAAATCTCCTTTTTGCCAGATTTAGCAGGTATATCTCAAACATGTATCCACCATTTAGGGAACAAGGAGAGAGTAACCTTAGGACAAGGAGGCCATCCAGTCCAAAGACTACCTTCCTCTATCCTGCTCACTAGTGTTACTGCCCTTCATGTAACAAGCTGTTCCATAAATAGCAGAACTAGTAAAGCCTGTTTCCATGTTATTTGCATTCTTTGTCCCCTACATACCCTTCACCAGTAGCTTCAGAGTCTTCTCATATCCCCATATAGTTTGGCTGGGCAAAGGCTCATCTGGTGCCTGGTGTGAAGATATATATCTGCTGACTGGCCATCTGGCTGTTGCCTCCTGGAGCAAGTTATTACTGCCATTTTCCTCAGTGGAGGCACTAATTTGGATTCCTCTCCTCTACCAACCTGCCAGTTTTCTGGGAAATTTGTACAGATACAGTATTTTTTGGACTTTGAGCCCACTGTCAACTTTGGCTGAAAGCGGGCAGCAACTTGAGAAACTATGTCTGTGTGACTGACAGAGAGAGAGAGAGACTGGCTCACACTGTGCTCAAGCCTCATTTCCTTCAGGGAGTGGGCTAAACGTGTTTAAATATTCACAGAAACTGAGACTGGAAATCTCTGATTGTCTCCACTCTGGATGAGGCCATAGTGTGGTGAATATAAATTCAGGGATCATAAAATCAATTATTTACATAGCTCTACATGATACATTTAAATCGAGCTTCTTACTGCCTTTATTTCTCAATGGATTGTAAATTTCTGTACAGACAGTTTGGCACTTACGACATTTTAAAAATGTTTCTCGTTCATCTGTTCTCAAGGGAGGCTGCATCCAACAACGAAGCAATGGCAACCATCCTTTTACAGAACCTCCTGATACAAGTGGATGAACAGCTAGACCGGGTTTCACAAGAGAAGAACCTTCTCTTGATACACAACCTGAAAAGAATCAGAAAGCTGCTTCAGGTATGTTGTTCCTCCAGATAACAAGTTGCACACTCTGCCTGGCTTCTAAGGGCAACGCCTGACCTCTGCTAACACAGCTTGTTCCTGTGCACAGCTCAGAGCTTTCCCTATTCCCTTTTCCAGGCAGCTATGGAAAGAACAAGCCTCCAATAAGAGGCTATCAGTAACCATGTGGAAAAATAATCCACATTTTTAGTTCACGTCACTGAGATACAATGATGTTGTGACCTCTTGGCTCAGCGCATACCTACATCTTACTCAGCTCTTAAAAACAGGTTGATACAGTGCTTATAGATGTCAATGTTTGTTACAAGTGTGATTAACAACTTTCCAGACACACACACACCCGTTTAAATACGATTAGCTGTGACAGTCTTTGGGAAAACATCATGTATTTTGGCCTTAGCAAAACAGCACTCTGAAAAAGGAACCGCATTTGCTATTTTGTTCTTAGCTGTGATTACTTGTTATGAATTGCTTAAAGGATTTTCCTTTAGGCTTCTGAAAAAGTGATATTTACTTTGATTGGTTGAACGTTCCTCTAGTAATTGTTTATTTAAGGCAAGAATTCTCAGAGTTCCACTTCATTAGTCATCTACTTCCTGACATCTATTTGTCTTCTGCATAAAATAGATACACATCTGAGTTGAACAAAAGTTTGGGGATTTTTCTCTCCTTTCGTGGTGTTTTCCATAAGTACTTTAGTGAAAACTGTATCATTTACAAAATCATTTTCTTAATTTTATATGAATTCATTGATCTGGAACATCTTCATACTACTGTGTCAATTATTTTGGTGCTACTGTGGCTGCATGTCTTTCTATTCTATGTCTGTAATGGTGGCCCCCTTAAAAAAGCAACACCGCTATCACTTTTCCTTCCAGTGTTATGCAAGAAGTTATGCATATAATTTTAAAACAAAGCTCTTTTATTGCTTTTTTTGTTTGTTTTATGGTTTGAGTAGCAGCACTAACCCTCATTTCAGCACAGCTCAAACAACTTAACTGCTTTTGGAATGGAGAACTGAAAGGTCATTGCTGTGATCTCCTTCATGGTCACTTGGACACTTTGCCACAGTACGATTGAGCCAGAGCTCCACCACTTTAGGTGTTTCCTCACAGAAGCATATACGTACAAAGAGCACTGAAAAAAGCAGTTGTATTCCTAGCTCAACAGGCTGTACATTTCTGACTCCGCCTTCACAACGTGCATATGCACATGGATTATATGTATGTACTTCCAGGCTCTACCAAAGTAAAGAATCTCACTGCTCCTTCTTTTCCTCGCGCCATTTATTTTACTCTAAACTTAAGTTGGCTAACTTGAGCTGGCCACTTTGTGTCCTCTGTGAAATTCAGGACACTGAGATGACACATCAGCCTAGAGTGCATACACAGTAGTTGACCTGGCAGCTGGTGTGAAGGGTCACGGCCAGGGTGAAACCCAAGTCCTGCAGGCCCTGACTTAACAAGCTTCCTCAAGCAGTGAATTCTCTGCTCCGCAAAGGTTTGCAGGTTGACAGTCTAAAGCAACACAAAACTCCTGAGGGAACACCAGAGATGCTGGAATTGCACTGCTTATTAAAAAGGACTTTCACCTTGGGGTCTGCAGTAAAATATTTCCAATAGAACAAAAAACACAACAGCTCTATTACTAATAAGCTGACCTTTCTCTGTTCTAGCAAGACAACAAATAACGTCTATTCAGATTAAAAGCCACTCATTCAGTTTCAAAATACACATGCAAACCACCAGACACCAAACAGCACACTTTCACTATTAGAGCTTTTCCTGGTTTCTTATAACCTTTAACTCTATAATTCACAGCCTTATTATTATTTCCAAAACAATTTCTGTAGCTTGGAGTAGAACAAGGCTCTTACTGAATCTGTATCACATGTATTCTGTACAGTTGATTAAAACATTACATTCTGATTTCTAGAACATAAATGATAATTGCTTCTTCAGCCCAAGTGTGCAGTGTGTGTTCTTTGTAGGTGCACCTGATTTTTTTGAATGTATCTGAGAAGTTTGGAGGTATTTGGCTCCCCACCCAAAGCTGGTGCACTTGCAGATACAAAACTCTCATAATTTGAGCTGGCTTGTGACTGCTTCATGAGATAATACCAGAAAAGGTGACTGAAGCGTATAGTGCATTGCCATAAATCCTTTTGTTCTGAAATGCTAGTGAGAGAAAGGGCATGCTGCAAAACTAGAGACTGTTCGCTAGCTTTGACTGGCTCCCTAAATTAATAGTGGAAGCTACATTGGTAAACATCTTTTCATTCTTGGTGACTCTATGAACAGTCTTGGTTTGGTTTTCTCTGAAGGTTAGTTACACCACGATCCCACCTTTCTGTTTGCTCTCTAGAACAAGCACTTCTTTGAAATTTCACAGTTCACTCCTCTTCCTTCCCTCCTCTATACCACACACAGACGTGCAGACACTTGTAGACACACAAAAATGTTCAACCTCAATATGTGACCTGAATGCATTTGTTTGTTTACTATTTTGAGCCAATTATATATGGCTTGTTCAAGCCAGATAATGCTGGAAACTAGCATACGGAACACAAAGCTGAGCTGTGGTATAGGTCACTAAATACTACAGCGACAACAATAAAATAATTATAAATACAGAACACTCATAGCACAGTCTGCAAATCTGGACAAAAGACAAAGTGTAGGACTACTGCTTAATTGGTCATACAATTAAGTCACTTGTGATGGCCAGCCTTAGAAGAGGAAGCAATAGCCACTTGACAAATGGCTTGTGCAGCTGCTTCCCAGGCAGCACAGGCTCAAGATTCCTCATGCTGTTATGCCTACTAGTTTCCAATAGCACAGCCGAGCACTCTCTGTTTGAAAGCTTCCACTCTGATTCCTTTCTATTATCAGGAAGAGAAAAAGTTCTGTGCTCCACCTGAAATATCTGTATGCAGATGTCTTCATTATTCCATGGGATTAAGGAAGGAAGTAGGGAAAAGAGAGAGACCTTGCCTGCCTGATATTTGCAATATAAATCTATTATCAATCTCAGGAGCTGCAAAATGCAAAGACCAGAACTGTCAGCAGAAAGACAGCCTAGCACCCTTGTTTTTAGGTCACCGAGACCACCCCTATTTTTCTACCACCACAGAAATAATAATGGAGCATGACATTTCTGCTCAGACTGCTGAAATTTCCAGAATTACCTTGATGTAAAAAGAAATGTTGACCAGGAAACATACAATGTGAAGAAGTTGTAAGTACTTCAAGGCAACTTAGCTAAGCTGTTAACTCTCAGTAATTTGCTTCTCTATACATTTCTTGCTCTTTCAAAATGGTACATCTTGACATTAAACTGGTAAAAATGCACGTATTTTACTAAAAAGGATCAGTGCTTTAGGTTAAAATCCCTTGTATTCTTATATTGCTATTACTCCTCTAGCCAGTAAATTGGATTCATTTTTACAGCAGATTGGCCTTTTGTTGCGATGCTTTTCAGTGGATGACAGCAGAGCACAGCTGCTTGCTAAGGTTAAATTCTATGTCCCTCCTCCTACAAAAGTCCTGCTCCTGTGAGCAGCAGCTCTATAAAGGGATGAGGAGAGCATATGTTTGGACGGAGGAAGCTCTGCCTATGACTCTTTCTCCTGTTTAAAGCCTAGATGAAGAAAAGCAAAGCAGATTAGTCACAAGGACGTGGTTTGTGCTGTTGCCATGACAGCAGAATGTAAAGGGCAGATGTTAAGCTCCAAAGAGCTGCCTATCACTTCTAGAACAAAATTTAAAATGCAACAGTCTGCAAGACCTTAGCCCATAAACAATTATATCCTGGCTTGCTGAAGAATTTCTCGTAAATAACTGTGCCTGTCCCTGAAGCGAGCTTCTTCAAAACATGCAAATAGATTTGGTGCACAATAGAGACTGGCAAAATTACTTGTTTAGGACAGAAGCTGCCCACATTCCTCCCTCACAGGCTAAAATCCTTGATTGGTAAGAGCGTGGCTGCAGGGATCCTGCAAGGCTGCAAGTAGACTGAGGATCTAAGACAGACATGGCTCTGCCCATGCCCCACCTGCCCTTGTAGGAACAGTCTCCAAGTTATCTAGAGATTCTGCATCTTAGATATCCTTGTGCCCTTGCTTCTTCCCTTACCAGAGCTGGAAATTTGGCTTGGCTTGGCTGTCTGAGCCATGCCTGAGGTACCAGAAACTTCGCCAGCAGTGTGTTCAGGTGGCCAAGAAAACCAACGGCATCCTGGTTTGTATCAGAAGTAGTGTAGTCATTAGGAAAAGGGATGCAATTGTCCCTCTGTACTCAGCTCTGGTAAGGCAGCACCTTGAGTTCTTTGTTCAGTTTTGGGCCCCTCAATACAATAAAGACATGGAAGCCCTGGAGTGCATTCAGAGAAGGGCAAGGAAGTTGGTGAGGGATTCGGAGCACAAGCCTTATGAGGAACAGCTGAGGGAGCTGGGATTATTCAGTCTGGACAAGAGAAGGCTCAAGGGAGACCTTATCACTCTCTACAACTGCCTGAAAGGAGGTTGTGGTGAGGTGGAGGTCAGCCTCTCTCCAAAATAACAGTGATAGTATGAGAGGGAATGGCCTCAAGTGGTGCCAGGGGAGGTTCAGGTTGGCTATTAGGAAAAATTTCTCCTCAGAAAGAGTGGTCAGGCACTGAAACAGCCTGCCCACAGAGGTGGTGGATGCACCATCCCTGGAGGTTTTCAAGAACCATGTAGATGTGGCACTGAGGGACATGGTTCAGTGGCCACTGTGGTGATGGGCTGATGGTAGGACTAGATGACCTTAGTGATCTTCTCCAACCTTAATGACTCTATAATTCAGAGACAGAGATGGGCTGTGCAGTGCAATGGGCATATGACAACAACACCAGGAAAAAGCAAGAATTCCCAGAATCATCCCACTCATAATCACAGCTCATCTTTATGCTTTAGTCTCATGATAACTCTTGAAAGCAATCCCTTCTCACTAACAGCAACATACATCTGTGTCACAAAATTGTTTATGATATTCAGGGGAAAATCGGATTATATAAATCTCTTATAAAAGTGAAATAACTGATTTCAGGGACAGGAAGAATAGCTACTTCTCTCATTTACCACTGAAGCCTGAGTTAATGAGGGTATGTTGTGCTCTGGGGAACATTTTGCCATAAAAGATGTATATTCATGACATTTATTTAACAGCCACAGCAGATTCTCAGGTGTCTGTGATCTGCACATGCTCACCAGCCCTGCTAGAGCCTGAGATGAGGTGAAGGCAGGCAGAGGGCAACCTGCCTAGGTAACCACAACTGTGTGCACACCTTCAGCAGCCTGGGGAATCCTTGCAAAGAGAGAAATCAAGGATTCACCAGATCTGCTGATTCACACCAATTGTACCAACATGAGCTGATGGAAACAGATTTCAACTGTGGAGCTGGGAAATAATAGTTTGGTTCTTCCATCTACACAGCACTACATTTTAACGAAATTATCTGCAACAGTATCTTAATCTACCTCCTGTCCTCTTAACCACAGCATGTTAACCTTATGGCATTTCATTTTATATTAAACTTACCCTAATTCTAAGTAGCACAAACAGCATCTTGCTTTCCACACTGTTAAAACAGGGATGTGGTAGCATGTTCTTGCTTCTGCTTCAGTTTCTCAGTCATACTGCAAGGCTTGTTTCTATCTGTAATGAGAATCAAACATCTTTGAGCGTCTCCAGATGCAAACTAAGTATGGAGATGTTTATTTCAGTTCAGGTAACTGTTAACACAAGTTTCTATATCAGAAAGGAGAAGGATGAGGAATCCTAACATTATTTGTTTTGGACCATCAAAGAAAACTAACCAAAAAAAAAAAAGAAAAAAGAAAAAAAGAAAAGCATTTGATCCGAGATAGGATATTCCAATTAGTACTTAACAAATATTTCTAATAATCACTATACTGAGAAACAGTTGCAAAGAATGGAAACGTAGCCATTGATGTTTAGGTTGCAATTTCCTGTTAAAGCTAAAAATGGGGTGAGAATGGAACATAGAGAAAGTTCGTAATGTACCACAGAAAAAAAAAAACAACAAACCCAACATGTAAAATATTATTTACATGTGTTTAGTGCTCATGCAACCTGATACATCAACAAAGCAATGAATTTTATCTAATACCATCCCAACTGGCTTTTCACATTACCATCTTGCCATCAGCATTTTTTCAAGCTTAATCATTAAAGCTGTTTACAAAATACTTTGGCGTGCAAGTGGGGAACCTTGAACACAATGTGCAGACCGAATGCTAACCAGCCAACTCTCTGCCATCACTGATTGCAGGCTAGCAGCTGCATGGCAGCTAATGAGGATTTTTTAACAAAGGATTCCAATGCATGGCTGCAAAAAGGTTATTCCTAGAAGTAAAATGTTTTGGAGTTACTCGTCCTTATTTCAGGAATGCCACTGTAATAACTTACAAACATTTCAGTTTGTTTTCGTAGAACGAATAAGAGTTGGCTTATGTACAGATGTTTAAAAAAAATCAAGAAAATAAACGAAGCCTTTTGCACTCCTTGCTTGCTCTAAGGGCCCAGCTGCAGAACAGAGATCTGCCTGGGAGGTTAGCTAATGGGGCTCTGGGCTTTGTGTCCAAATGACAGGAAAAAAACAAAAATCAGATGTCCTCCGCTATTTGCCCTCTTTTGCAGGGAAAATGGTGTGATCGTTTTGAAACACATCTCATTTGACTAAGAAGCATTGCCACGTTATTCACTCCCTGGGGCAGCACAGTTGCACTGTGTGATGATGACATCTACAACAGTGCATTTTCTGCAGCTGTATCTCACCCACTACCTGCTGACAAGCCTACTGCTCCTATAGACCACCCCTGGGCTCTTTTTTTTGTGTTGAGAGGAACCCAGTGGAGTTTAGGGGCAAACCAGAGTATGGAATAAAAGACCTCTGCCTTCACAGCTTATCCCAGCTCTGTTCTGGGTGGCATGTGCTCCCAAGAATGTTTATGCTCTTCTGGAAGTTACGTACTGTATTATATGAGTAAAGCAGAAACACAGCACTGCAGGGTTACGATTTAGGGCTTCCCACATTCAGAGGAGTTGTCTAAAAGATTGAGTCTGCCTTTAAGATTCTCCTAGGTATTTTGAAAGCGGGAGGGGAAATCTAAATATAAGAATCGAAGAAGAGCAGTCACAGGTACTTCCTCTTAAGACCTAAATAGAACAGAGCCATCTTTATGGTAGAATAAGAATTTTAGTAAGAACAGAACCTGCTGAGATGCAGGGTTTCAAAAAAAAAAACAAAAAACAAAAAAACACACACCCAACCAAACGCTCTTCACCAAAGAAGAGAAAGAAGAGTCAGTCCTTGCAGTACACTGAGAGAGGTGTTCTGCCTGCCTGCACAAACAGGAACAATAAATCAAGGCAAAAATGACAATTCTTTTGTTTTGTTTTCATTACATGGAAGATGAGATACTTGCTTATCTAGAGAGATGCTGAATATCCAGCTTGATAGAACGAGGGTGTCACAAGAAAGCAACGAGGAAGGCAACGTGTTCTTTCTTGACATTGTAATCCTGTTCCCTGCCTGTGTCCCAGCTCCCTTCCATCAAATATTCACTCAACATCAACACACCAGTAGTTGTCATAGTTAACAGTTCCATGCTGCCAATAAAGATTTTATTGCACACGCCTGAAAGGCATACAGTTGGGTTTTCCAAGCAGAACCAACATGAAATAGCTAGCGCTGATGGCTTTTACAGTAAAAAATGCATTTTGTCAGAATTAAAAAGCACTTAAAACCTACTCAAGCCATTTTAAGGTCACCTTGAAAAGCAGGTAAAAGTTGGGGTTTCTTAAAGGTTAAACACCATCCTCGTATGCTAGAGATAGTAAGCAACAGCCAAACCCTTCTAATCACATCACTGAAACACAGAAAACAGGATATTCTGTAGTGCATATAAGGAAGTTACTCATTTATAGATATGCATGGTATAGAGACCTTTGGCTGTCAATATCACTGAGGTTGGGAGTGATCCTATTTGTGATGGAGATACCCAGGGGAAATTACACAACATTGTTGGGGGAAATTATTAAATGTGGGGGTAGGGAAGCAGAGTAAGCAAGAGAGCCAGTCTCTGGTATAGATTTCTTAATTCTTCCCAGGAAAAGCAGTACATTTCCAACAGTAAAATTGACAGCTCTTTGTACCAGCGCACGTACTTTGCAGTTCCATAAGAAGCATTTTGAAGTTTCTCCACGATCTTATAACTTAGGGAATCAGAGTCCTGCATTTCCCCAGCCACTCAGGAGGATCTGAAAACATCCCAGACAACTCAGGCTGTTTTAAAATTCACCTAACATGTTTGAATGCTGCACACTTTAACATATCCATCTTTTGTGCAGAAATGCCTTTTTGGTTCTCTTCGTAATTTGGTAAGATACTTTCCCAGCAGATGCCTCTGAGGTGCAGACAGTTCACTGGGGGCAGTGGTAGGAGGGATTTCTCCCCAGAAAACGTCATCAGCATTCAGAGAAATGTTCTTCTGTTCAGAATGAAAGTTTTACTCCCTATTTGTTTAAATTTATCATCATGGTGGTACTCATTGAAAGTAAAATTCTCCAAATAAGACCAATTGTTGTTTGCTCTAAACCGCAGCACAGAAGACCTCTCCAAAACAGAAATTTTCTTTTTCCTCTCTTCTAAGACCAATGGAATTGCTGCTATAGTAGCAGATATGAATAACATTTCCTTTTGAAACTTCAGATGAAAAGTGAACCACCATCTTCTCTTTGTTGGTATTTATAAGAAGATGATTCTAAGTTTTCCCCTCTCTCTCTACATATATATGTATACACATATATAACTACATTAATAAAACAGTCCTGCATAACTGCAGAATCAATATCCCTTATCCTTCCCAGCTGCCAATGCTTTTGTTGCACCAGATCAAGCTTGCTTTCTTTGGTTGGCTTTTCTCTATTTCCCAACTTATACCACTTCTTCAATGATAAGAAATCATTTCCAAGTTGTCATTTGGAAGCCAAGTTCAACTTGAGCAAATCCCACTCAAAATCAAATCCCACTCTCAGTCAAAGACCAAATGGAAGTACAGAAGAGCGAAAGCTTACAGTGAACTGATAGTACTGGCTGGCAGAGTTTGAAGTGTAATTTTCTTTGAGAAATATAAAACATGGGGAGAAAAAAAAACAAACAGTGATTATTTTGACATTCAAGAACATTAGCTATTGTTACTTATAGTAATTACAGTCATTTAATACGTTGTAACTCTTAAGATATGTTATAATTTGTTTACTCATATCAATTTCTTATCTTTAAGTTACAAGCCATCTGCTAGAAGTACTGCAGAAGAGGTGGGGCACTGGAATAGGTTGCCCAGGGAGGTGATGGAGTCACCATCCTTGGAGATGTTGTACTGAGGGACACGGGTTAGTGGGAGATATTGTGATAGGTGGATGGCTGGACTGGATGAACTTAGAGGCCTTTTCCAACCTTGGTGATCCTATGATTTTGTTCACATTGCACAAATACCACAGTTCTAGGTGAGCATGACAGACTGGCTGTGGCACACTGCTCTGCAGCTGCCCACAGCTTGCTGTGTGCTTTCATTTGTGTGCCTTTCTGGCCCATTGCCCTCCTTTGGTCACAAGCATGTGAATTCAGGCCACAGTAGCTGCAGAGCATCATTCCAGCCTTCAGTTGGTGGCGGGTTACAGCCTTGACAGCTCTCTGTCTGTTTGCTCTGTGCCTGCTGGAAGAGCAAAACGAATCAAGCAGAACTGAACAAGTGCCAGGTAGTCCTGAGTAAAGAGAAACATTACAGGTCCAACTGATTACTAGGGCTGTCTGAGTTACAAAAGGGGAAAAAATAGTTTATTTCCACTTCAACTCCTGATTCAGATGGTTTTCCCTTATTGAAACAAAGAGAAAGAGAGACAGAGAGAGCTTTTACATGTTTTGCATATGAACAGTATCTAGAAATGTTAGGAAAGTCCCCGATACCTGGCATTCATCTGTGGGGGATTTTAAAACATCCCAATGTCAAGAGGCTTTAGAAAGCCTTTTCTGTGTAGGTGTGTCCTACAGCTCCAAGAGATTTCTATTTCATTTTGATTTAGTTACAGGGTCTGTTTGAATCTTTCTTGTTACACAGCAACGACAAAAGAATCCTCAAGGTCTCCATGGGGGTTGTTTGGGCCAAAATTTCATTACTGATCTCTGCAGCCAGTTTTGATTTTTCAAGTTTCCCTCCTTACACTCAGAGCTTCAAATAGAATCTCAGGCTCAGCCTAGAGTAACAGAGTTCTGTCATGCTCTTTGGAACTCCATACTGCAATCCAACACTGGTGTCCAGGCTTCTGCATCCAGAAGTTCCTCAGGAACCCAAAGACCTCCCTTGCAGGATTGTGTCTTTATATTAAAACACTTTCTAGGTGTTATTAAATTTTACCAAATTCTGTTAGACAGCAGTTAGCTGGAAATAAACACTTCTCACTTCAGTTAGTCTGCAGAGATACCACTGCATATTAAGCTCCTCATATATTAGCCATCTATGAGGAAGGCAAGACACTGTTTTACCAGCCAAAAAATAAGAGCAATACTTAGAAGTCATCAGACCAACAAATACATGCATCAGTGGATTTACACTAGTTACAGATTTCTCACC